ATATATATATAAAAGTACTATCTCTTTTTAAGAACTCAATGATCTCCTTATCTAAAGCTAAATAATAATTTCTTTAAATATTAAGATTTTTTTTTAAGGAATTAACTTCTGTAAAGTGTAAACATTTTTTTTCCTTCTATAGGGATAAGCTTAGATATTGAAATAATCAACTACGACACATTATCTTTCAACTGTGGCACACTATATTAATTATAAAAAATTATTTTGTTATTTTATTTTTAATGTATTTAACATAATTTTTAAAAGTATAAATTCTTTAAATAATATTGTAGTTTAAAAGCACATAATATAACTTAAGTACAAATTCTTAAATACGTCTATTGTTTTCCAAGTTTTATTATAATAGAACAAAAAATATATATTAAGAAAGTTTATATTAAATACAAATGTAGAACACATATAAAATTCCAACACTAATTGAAACGTAAGAAACTATCTTTTAAGTTCTCTCCTTGAAAGAATTATTAAAGGAATCTTATACTGTTACACAAACTATCGTGTAGGAGGTCCTCGCATGGAGAGAAAAAGAATAGACAGGTGCTGATTACAAGAAACAACGTGTATGGAAGACAGTGAACAGATTATAAATCATATTCTTATGGCAGCAAGTTTTTGTTGTCCTTAAACCACAAAGAATATTACACTTTGCAACTCCTAATTAACAATTCAATTTTCATTCCCTTATTTTTTGTCCATACATAACAACAGGGACTCAACCTACTTGAAAGGATAATTTAAATATTTGCTACACTACAAACAAAATATGTTATTAAATAATTGTTATGAGATGATATTATCCTTTGTTGGCTACATGGACAGGATCTCAATAAATCCACGAGTTTAGGCTGTTTAATTAGCTCAGAGATTATCCATACTCATGAGATGCAATGCAACTAAGTTGGATTAATTAAATTTATAGAAGAAAATTCAAGGAGTTGATAAAAATATTTTGAAGTCCTACTGAAGAATTGAACATTCTGATTTTGATAAATTGATAATATATATGTTGTTCGGATATTACAGTTAATCGTATAATGCTTTTAGGCATGACAATCTAACCCGTTCTCGTGGGTACTCGCCCGAACCCGCCCCGATTTGGATGGGGAAACCCGTGTTTATCGGGTTCGAGTTTTACCAAAATTATAAATATTTATATGTAAAAATTTATATTATTATACTTTTCTTTTATTTTTTTTTAAATTGTTAATATTTATTTAAAAAAAAAAAGAAGAAAAAAAATAGGAGCGGGGGCGGGGGCGGGGCAGAGAAACCCGAACCCCGCCGAGGGCGCGGGATGGGACCCAAATTTTATCCCGACAGGTATCGAGGGCGGGGGCGGGGGCGGTTTAAATTTGCCGGAGCGGGGAACGTAAAACTCGCCCCGCCCCGTTGCCATGCCTAAATGCTTTCAACTTATTTAAAATGTCCATTGAAAATAAAATATTTATGTGATAGCAAGTACACTAAAAAGCATATATGCATGTGCTAGACTTCTAGTTGAGGACAACTATGATTCAAATATTATGTCAACTGCAATTTAATCGGTAAAACATTGTGACTAAGGATTGAACTTTTGATCCCATATTTAAGGGGGGAAATATCTATTAACCATGCCATATTTATTGGTGATTGAGTTGTTCATTTTGCTCATATATTTTTATTAATTGAGGAGAACTTTTATGCTGATTTTCTTGTCAAGGAGGAAGCGTCACATAACTCTGATTTTGCTGATATTCTTTCCATACTCGAGGCAGATATTATAAGACTTCAATCTATTTAGATTTGGTCATTTTTTTTTTTTTTTTAGTTTCATATATCCTCTTTTGAAGATAATCCTAATTGATACACAATTGAATATTAAAAATGAGCAATTCTTCTAACAGATGTATAAACTTTGTTTAAAACTTTAAATCTTATTGTTTCTTCCTATTGTACCAAAAACAAAATCATTATAAAACACAGTTAAACGAAGAATTGATAGTATTGCTTATTTTCTCTAAGTAACTTTCCTTTTTATTATAAAATCATAATTAATAATAAGAAGATAGGTGTTTCTCAAGTTATAAATTTTTGTTTTTTAATTTGGAATGAATTGTAAGTATAATGAACCTTCATTATAATTGAAGATTTTGTTTGATAGTTTATAATTTCTCAAATTTTCGTTTTCTAATTGAATATTTGACAGTTTATGACAGATTTGAAATATGGAATAATTTTTCAAGTTAGAAGTTAAAAATTCAACAAAAACCTGATAAAATAGATGATTTTAATATGTGATATTAGGATTTGATGAGAGTAAATTCAAGTTTTTTTATGACTAGTATTTTAGTGTACAATGTACAAGTTTATTTATTATATAATTAAAATTTATAATAAATTATATATATTAATAACTATATTTGAATATATAAATTATATTTAAAATTTTTATAAATAGACATTTTTAAATATATAAATTATATTTTAGATTTATAATGAATAATTTATAATGTAACTTATTTTTATTTATTAATAAATTATTTTAAATATTAATACTCAATTCATAAATAATTGTGATAAATAAAAACTGAATTAGATAAAAAAATTCTTACAAACTCTCACGTCATAGAAAAATTCCTGAAAATATTCTCATGATAAATACTGGTTCGTGTTAAATATATAAGAGTTGATTATTTTGAGTGAAAATTTGTATTTTAGTAGATTTTAAGTAGAGAAAAGTTTGAAATATTATAATTGATTTTATATCTAGTATTTTGACTAAAAAAAATATAATTGGAGAGCTTTAAATTAAAGAAACAATAGAAAGAACAAAATTTTCTTCATTTAAAGATAAAGAATAGTAAATTTTTCAAATAATGCATAATCAAGTAAATAAAAAAAGAGAATTAAACTTGAAATCTGTTCAAGCACTTCTAGAAAAAAGTGAAAATAAGTTTCTCGAAAGTTAAAATTAAAATGTGTTAAAAATATATTTAAAGAAATTAATATAAAAAGAATTTCTACAAATTAATTTATTTAAATTTTTTTAAGAAAAAAAAAAGATATTTAATTTTTTCTTTATATTTTCTTATCTTAATGTTGATAAATTTATTCATGTTGTCCTGTGGGTGGTAGGAAACTGAACTTCCAAGTTCGACCTCCACCAAATTAGAGGAAGAGTCCATTTTATTTTATCGGGCACACTCTATCTTGGGTTACTCAAATTGTACTATATGTTTGTCAGATTATACTCCCTTAATCTGCAAGCAAATGTTTCGTAAAATGATATATTAATTCAATGTCTCTAGCTGTAATCAACCACCTAGTAAAAAACTGCTTTGGACTAATAATGATGGTGTCAATGATGAATCATCAACTTCCAGTATTCTAAACCTCCAATCCAGAGGTTCACACTTCACAATGATTTAATAGAGGACCTAGCCAGCTGGCAAAATGATCCCTAGTAGCGAATGACCACTCAACGACCAATTCTTTCCTACTTGAATTGAATCTGCTCTGCTTCCAAAATTTAATCGTCCAAACGTAGCTGCATAGTGGTGTCCATTTCAATTCCAAGCACTGCTACCAACAAAGAAAAGAATGATAATTCGCATGCATTTGTTTTCTAAGGCCTGATGGAAATTTTAAGGAGTCTCTCGTGATAAAAAGTTAAATTCACGAGTTCAGCTCATTGTTTACCGATAGGGAAGGACATGGTCATCCAAGTCCATTAAACGATTACCGTACATTCATCACTGCTTAATGCTATAAGTTTGTTTGGAGAGGAAGGACTATAGACATAGTAGACTCTGTTTGATTCTTCCCCTGTTGGGGTTTGGGACCAAACATTGAAAATGAACAGCAGTGTCAACATAATTTGGTCCAAGAAAGTTCACGTGAGGCCAGCACATTGGGAGTTTCGGACTCTTGCATATCCTTCCAAACATCCTGTAATTCGTAACACAATTGGTGCCCTTAAAATAACACATACATAGTGAAAAGATCACGGGGATATTTCTTTTCATGAGGAAGAGTTGTATAAAACAGCAACATAGGCTATCGGGTAACCACGTTCCTTTCTCCGTCCTCTTTCAATCCCCATCATCATCCCATCCTATTCGATGAATATAAACATTGCAAGGGCAAGGGAGAGGTGAGCATCACGGAAACTAATCTCAACATTTAAGTAAAATAGTCATTTTAGACTTAAAAAACAAATGTTTTACAGAAGTACTTCTAAAAGAAGCAATTCTTTAAGAAACATAAAAGAATTACTTACTAAAAAAATAAAAAATAAAACTACTCATTTAATAAATAAAAAATTAAACAAACATGTCAAATAATAGTTTATTTTATTAAAAAGAAACCATTTTATAGAAGAAGAAAAATTAAACAAATAAACCCATTATCTTCCATACATGACTGCATCACCAAAATAAACACATTCAAGATTGAATTACCGAGAAACATTTGAAATAAACCAAGTAGTTGTATAACTCAGACATACTACCCGAGTGAATATTTTTTCCTGTTCTTGTCAGAATCATTTGCGCTTCAAGCAATCAGAGGACATCAAGGCAAATTGAAGGCAGAAACACGTCACCCATATATATTTAGAAAATCGTGCTGACTTTGTTTTTAACCATCATATGGGTGCTTAATAATCAGACATGCAGTACTAACTCACAAGTTGCCACAATTAATATATTTAGTAAATTAAATAATCTAAATTACATAATAAGATGAAAGGTCAACAAGAAACAGAAACATTGCATCATTTCTCAAGAATATTGATATGATTCATGATTCCTCTAGAAATGTACCCTTCACTGTATTATGAACTCGAACCACACAAATCTAAAAGCTATTCAAAAACCCTCATCATCACTTGTAAAATTCAAAGTCAGTATCAGGCTTCTTCACATTTGTCCTATAACCCTTCTCGAAGTCCTTCGGCAATATGACTTCCTGCTTCTTGACAAATGGCTGCTATCTGCAGGCACCAACAATCATCAAATTTTAAAAAAAACACAACTGTTTATATATTACAAATACCTGTGAAATTAGTAAAATGTTCTATCCTACTTTCTAAACTGTATTTCTTACAGCAGCTATCCAAGTAAAAAACCCGGAACTTAGATTTGTGTATACGAAAGCACAAAATTGAAAAAGGAGGAAGGTTGACCCTTTTTGTTATCATATAAAACCTCATTTATGGAAGTGAGACGCAGTATACCAACATTATATATAACAGGCTTTTTCTACAATAAAAAGTTATACCTTTCATTTTATTTACCCACATCTACTATGTTTATTCTAGAATCTTCAGTGTATACCTCAACCATGCAACAATGCTCCTTGGATACCACCCACTTTTTTATCGAGTGCAGCCAACAAAAATATATCGATATAATCTAAAATTCTAAATTCCAACATTTCCTTTCTATGAAGCACTCTCAAAAAATTTCATTAGCTATCTGACCTTTTAAGCTTTAGAAGAAGAGGTCGTCCACAGGACAACCTTTCTCACAATAATAACAATTCTTCCTCTAATAGTTGATAGTTCCACTTATTTACATGCATTTTATTTTAAACACATTGCCAAGTTAAAAGCTTCAACTCTATCCCACGCTATCCCCTTGGAGTAACGTCATCATGCTAATCAATTAATGTAAATAACATAAAATAAACATGACATTTTCTTTTAAACTTCAGTTTTCAGTTCAATTGAAGCAGTAAAGACTAAAAAGAAGCAACTCATTTTCCCCATAAATGTTTTAACAGAAAAGATTTTCAAAGAAGCTGCCAACCACTACGTGTTTTTCAACATTGCTTCAAGCCTTCTAACCAAAATGATAGATGTAAAAACAATAAACTTTAAAAAATTCCATTAGTTAGATAAACTATCATAAACTAATAAGAAGCATTACCACATAATGAAATTATTAGCACAAAGAGCACAGGACAAGATATAAACAAACCTCAGCAGCACTAATTTTGTCAGGACGAGATACGTAATCCTCCAGGTCTACTTCATCACTCAAGTTCATCTTGGCTGTGCAAACCTGATCAAACCATTGAATAATAGGTTAGCAAGCAACTGAGAAAAAAGCTATTATAAAAACCATTGAAAGTCTGCAAAACAAACTGAAATTGGTCACTAAAAATATAAAATGCCCAACAAACATGGAATACTGATATGGTATAAAATTAAAGCATATAAATAGCCAAAAACTTGCCTGAAATACAAGCCTCTTTTGGCGTCTATCAGGCAAAGGGAACTCAATTTTACGATCAAGCCTTCCAGGACGCAACAGAGCAGGATCCAACGTGTCAGCTCTGTTAGTTGCCATTATGACCTTAACATTCACTGTTTGGTCAAAACCATCCATCTGAAGAAAATAACAGGTAATTAAACCAAAACTTCAGGCTAAAATAAAAGGTAAATGTAGTCAAACCAAAAGGCCAGAGGACAAGAGATAAATGAAAATAAATTCACTGCAGCTCAGCAGATCTTAGTAACTACGAATAGCAGTTCACAACATACTGACAGCACCTAAAAGAAATATCATTTTGATAGATGATACCTGATTCAAAAGTTCCATAAGGATACGCTGTACTTCTCTATCAGCTCCAGTTTGGGCATCAAATCTAGCAGTGGCAATGGCATCAACCTCATCAATAAAAATAATTGCAGGGGCATTCTCTTTTGCAAGACGAAACACATCACGAACCATTCTTGGACCCTGAAAAATATATAGCAGGGAAGATTTGAAGATATTGCAGTAAACCATTGATAAAAACATATAGAATCCAAAAATTTGAAACTCCCAGAAAACTATAGGAACAACATAGTTATAATCAATGACTTGAAACAAAACACCAGTGAAATCCCAATAAAATATACAATCCCAAAATAGAAACAAAATTAATAAATACAAATACAGCACAACAGATTCATTAATTACGAATTGGAAACCCATAATCTTCAAAAGGAAACTTAGATAGCAGAGTAAGTTACAGCATTGCCAAAATCACTCCAAATGCAGATGACTAGAAATCATACCTCACCAAGATACTTCTGCACAAACTCAGATCCAACAACCCTGATAAAGGCGGCAGTGGTATGATTAGCAACAGCTTTGGCAAGCATAGTTTTGCCGGTGCCAGGGGGTCCATATAGTAAAACTCCGCGAGGAGGATCGATACCAATTTGCTTGTATAGTTCATGATGCGTAAGGGGTAGCTCCACAGCCTCACGAATTTCCTGTTTCTGAATATCACATCCTCCAATGTCCTAAAGAAAAGATTAAATATAGGACAAGAGATAAGGATATGCCACAATTAAAAAACCCTCAAGATGAGGAGTTTGAAAACGATACATACTAAACATAGCCCAAACAAATATACCACAAAAAATCAATTGCTACTGCTTGTTAGTATCAATGCCATTGGCTTAACCAAAATAAATTATACTACTGAAATAATGTGCCTATAATGTTTCATATATCATCAACACTCATCTTCCTCATCAGAAAACGTCTCAATCCTGGGAAGGTCCATAGTCTTGCCCGTACAGAAAGATGGACCTAAAATTTCAGTGTCATTGTTATCACCTTGCAACCTCATAAACTCAATACAGTTTAGTACATAATTTGATTAACATCAAATCATCTTTATTTGCAACATCTAGCACCAAATCCTGGATTTCCAAGCTGCATATAATGAACTAAAAGAAACTCCTCCAAGATTATCCATGGGTCTCACTCTCTTGATGTAAGGACATAATTTAAATTTAAAATTGCAACTACTAAACCAATACACTTCAATTCTTCTAAGCAAAATCAACACTTTTCACTGCCATGCGTTAAGGCTAAAGACCTGGGGCAATATCAACTTCACAAATATCCATTTAAACATCCTTCGACATGCTACAAGAGACCAAGTATGTTTTCAAGAGGTTTAACAATAGAGCAACGCACACCCAGACACCAAGGATACTCCATCACCTTGTGACCAATATGTCTAGGACACTGAGTAGTAACAGTTGAAAGTTAAACCTCACGCTCCAGCTATACCATTTTAAATCACATTCAATCCAAAACAGCACCAAAAGACAATAATCAACCTCCCCAAACGACAAAAAAAAAAAGCACGAATCTAACTCCTATTCTCATCACCAAATCATCCACCTCGCAACACAACATTACCCTCAAAGTAAAATCACTTCTCTCTCCACCCTAATTTCATCGAAACAGTTCTAACCACAAACACGAAACCTAAATTTTCATTTTACCGCAACAAAGCCCTACCAAACTAATACTAAACCGACTCAAAGAAATTCCAATCAAGGCAAACTCTCATTCTAGCCACAAAAACACCCTAACCAAACCGCAATCAACAATTACTAAAAAATAAAATAAACAAACCAACACTAGACCGAAAACCCTAGGAGTCGTTTTTCACCATCATAACCTAAGGTCAATAGGTATAAGGCTACAAAACTGACAACATAATTGAAATCAAGCTACTCAGCAATAGAGCCACAACAAACCCTAACCAAACCGTAATCCAAAATCAAAACTAAAAGAAATAAAACAAGCACTACACCGAAAACCCTAGCTATCGCATTTCGCCACCATAACCTAATGTCGATAGGGAAAACAACAAAACACAACGAAACTAACATTATAAGTGACGTCAGGCTTCTCAGACTGGCTGAGGAGCGAGATGCTGGAGTCGGCCTCCGGCGGCAGAACGTCGACGAGGGCGTTGGAGTGGCGGTGGAGCGCGACGGAGGCGGAAGGCTTGAGAAGCTCGCGGTTGATGGTGCTGAGGATTCTGACGTAGTAGTTGGATCCGGTGGTGGATCCGACGATGCCGTTGTTCTGGTCGACCATCTCCATGAACTGGCCAATGACGAGCGGCACCGACTGGATCCGCTTGACCTCCTCCTGCGCGCGGAGGAGCTCGCGCTTCAGGTTCTTCTGCTCGTCCTTCACGTACTCCTCCTGGATGTCGATGAACTCGAGCTGCCGCTGGAGCGACTTCAGGCGGCTGTAGAGGTCGTCCTCGTCGGAGGCCGCGTCGCCGCCGCCGAAGCCTCCTTGGAGGTAGTCGGATTTCGTGGAGGGGAGGAACGGCGGTGGTTCCGATGAGGGTTTTGGATCCAACACCATCGCTGAGGATCCCATGAGTGTGGGGAATTTGGGGGAATAGGGTTTGCTTGGGTTGTGGAGTGGGAATCGAATTCAGAGTTTTTTCTTTTTTTGGATTTTGATGTTAGTTTGTGAGAAAGAGTGGAATGACGAAAATGACCTTTTTGCGTGTTCGCGAAGAAATTCTTGGATTCATGGACTTTATGTCAGTTGGGCCTTCACAGTACGATCTGCATTGCTTGTTTTCGACTCACAAAAATGTAAAGAAAGATAAACAAACTCGCAAGTCTTGTAACATTTTCTTTTTTCCTCATCTCTTCCTTCTCTATATTTTTACTGCTTTTTTGTTTTAAGGCAGTGGTGGATGTTGACTAAAAATTCAAGGGAAATCATGAATATTAATCAGGTGATTTAATTAAAATTTATATTTCTTGTATAAAGTCTCAAAATAATATATTCATATGAAGTAGCAATAAATATAAACAAATTAAGTGTACTTGTATTTAAAATGTTTCTCTTTGTTCCTTTAAAGATTTGAAGTAATGAATAATTGAATCAGAGTTAGTTAAAAGTTTTAACTATCTCTTTTTCCTCATAAAACTGTGAAAGGAGAAGTTGAGAATTTCTTCTTGAATAAGTTTCTTCTTCTCACTTATGTGTCATTTGCTTTATATATATAAAAAAAAAATCTTTTAACTTTTAAAATTGAAATGATAGGCATGGGCCACGACCCACTGTATTCTATAAAAGCATAATTTCATGTTTTGTCAATTAGTTGTAGTTTGTAGGACCAATAGGATATGTATAATATATATATATATATATATATAATAAGTAAAAGTTTTGCAAACTTTTGGGAGAGTCATGGCCCTACTCACTCCAAAGAAGGTTTGCCCTTGGTTTAAGGAGTGTTTAACATAGAGGAAAGAAATAAAGAAAAAAGAAAAGAAGTAGATAAGATATAAATGAAAATAAAAATTATTTTGTAGAAGACAAATGAAGGGAAGTTAGATTAAAAAAATGATATATTTTTCAAATAAAAAAGTTTAAATTGTATCTTTATACTAAGGTGAGGTAATTAATTCCAATAGCTTGGAACCAATTCCTGCGAAGAAGAATTGAGTTTGAAATGAAATAATTAATTTTTAGACATAATTTTATCTCAAACAACTAACTCCATTACAAAAGAATTATTTTTTACAAAGAAGGAAATGTTTATCCCTTAAAACGTAATATTTGAAAATATTGAAAGTTTTGTTTATTTTGTCTAATCACTGAATTTTACATTTTTAAAATAACTTTGCTTAACTTAATTAAACATTTAATTATTTTTTTAATCATATATTTTAAGGTTTGATACTTGATTATATTGTGGAACGAGACAAAAAAATTAGGTTGAGGTCATTTTGTTGAGCTAGTATCTAGTGAGGAGTCATTAGTGTGTTTCAATTTTTGCTACCTCCACCATTGAGAATGGTTAATCGTTTTTATTGGAAATCCAAGGTTGACTCTCCTTTGGTGGGTTTAGGAAAAGGTTTTTAATTACTAGTTAGGTTATCAATGATCAGTTTCACTTAGGCTTATAGGGTTGGTTTTCCTATGATAACCTACGGTGGATATCCCTAATAGTTGATTAAATTAAGAAGGTGAACTACAATTCGGTTAGGTTTTCAAGAAAGATTTCTGTGTAAAAGTAATGAGATGGCCAATTTTTACTTAATTTTATGAATTTAATAAGGCAAATTGTCTTTCTTTTTTGCATCTAGAGTCCTATTTGGCTTTTATGAGTTTAAAGGATGAACACTAGTTTAGAAGATTAATCAAGGAGTTGTTGATTTAGGGTGCACGCTTAACCTACGTAGTTTATAGAGCAAATTTTGAGAATGCTTAACGTGGATAAAAGGCACTTTTGTGCGATAGGCTAAGATGCATCTGAAATTTTAGGGAGTAATTAGCATGATTTAATGACGTTTTTGTAATATTTAAATGATACTCGTAGTTTTTTTCAAGGGATTGATAACTTTTTCTATAAATAGCTTACATGGAGTCTGTGTAAGCACCACGCAGTATATTCAGAGTTTCATAGTATAGGTTTTTCTAACTTATAATCTTCTTCATGCCCATGTATAATGAATATGAGTAAAAGTTCTTTTTGTTAAGGTAAGAGTATCATATGCAATACGAAGAAAATAAGAGAAAAATATAAATGTATTTTCTCTAAAATCCACCCAAAAGTAACAACATACATTAAAATTAAAACTACACATGTTTGATTTATGAAAATTCAATGTCACTTTTTTTTTAGTAATAAATAAAAAGAGATCGACAAGTATGTAATCATATGGTAAAGGAGTAACTTAATTAATAGTCTCGAATTTGAGTTTTGGATATGCAATTAAGTTAAATATTTAGAAGGAGAACTTTAATGTCTATAATGGTCTTATCTAACTCAAACAAGATTGTCTTTAATGAAAGATACTTGTAGTCTAAACGAAAAAATAAAAGAAATAATACTTATCCAACAATTAATGAACAATTTGCACAACTAAGAGAGAGCAATAATATATATATATA